GCAGAGAATAACTTCTTAAAGTACATCGTTATTGTTCGCCGGAGAATTTGGCGTTACAACATCGCGATATTGTTTATGATCGAGCAGAAAACGTATAGCGAGATGCAATAGGATGTCGCAAATATCAAGTCAGACTACTGCCACCTACAGACATTCTTAACAAATGAGGTGTCTTATTTACAACCAGAACAAAAGATATTGCACTCGGGAAAAGGGTATTATAATTCGAAACGATGCCCTTGTCACGTGTCACGAGCGCCGCGAAGCGCGTTGTTTTACGGAGGAAACAAATAAAAGGTTAACCCAGATTCCGAAGGGAACGATAATTGTAAGGGGATCCTCTCGAGGAATACGTTTCATTTATGTTTATCGCAGCGGCAAACAAACACAACTCGTTACTTCGCTCGTTAAGCGCGACGAACTTTTATTACGAACGATGATACTGTTATCGTTAACCGTACTAAAGTACATAAAGCGTAACTACACGCATACATTGGCGTAACCAGGTAGGATAGATCTATCATACCCTCGTCAGAAACTGTAATACGCATTATGTTTAATGCCGCTTCTCTAAGAAAGATGCAATACAGTATCGAAAATTATGGACGCACGTAATTCACCGTAAACAAAAATTCTAATTACGCCAATGAATGCGTATTCTTCGAGGAACTTTCGTAATAGACTTACCTGAGCGCGCGTTGTGTGGTCTTCATTTCTGGCTGTTTCTCCGCGAATTCTTCCAGGAAATTTCGTCAGTGTCGATCCATCGATTCGTCTCGATGTTAAAACACGCGGCACAGGTACCGATAAAAAAAATAAATCGCACAACACACAGACACGCTCATGCTAGAAATGAAAAAAAGCACTGAGATTTTAACCGTATTTACTTTTCACCTTTACGATTCTGCACCGATCATTCACTTCACCGGGCGAATCGATTCGAGATGGCCAACAATCGATAACGCCAGCACGATCGAGCGCGAGGGAAGTACGGATACGAACTTCGGCACTTTAAACGATTTCAACAATGGCGGGTCTAAATCTTTCGTGGATCGGTGACGTCTGCTATTCGTTCGTGATTGAAAATTGACGAAATCGCGTAACGCTGGTCGAGAATGATAAAAACGTCGTAACATACGGCCAACGTTTTCATCGAGCACGCAGCGGTAAGAGGCACGAATTAGATTAGTGGGACTCGCGACCGAGACACTTGGAGGTTAGGTCGAGTCCGGAGAGAGGCACATAACCTCTCTTTCACCAGCCCGATGATCCTGCAGCTGCAGCGTTCGTGACAAGCTTCTCTAAATTCTTAATACACTCGGTTTTGTCGTACATCTTAGCTTCGTAAGGTACACCTTAACCTCCGGCATGATTGGATCGCGTTTGTCATGGCGGCGATAGTTTGACGCGGACTTGTCCGCTCGCACGTGTTACCGATTCGAATATTCACTGAACCCTGTTCGTTAAATTCGTAACACTCTTCTCGACTGTAGTTTTCAATGTCCTCCAGAAATAAACACCGAGTAAATTGACTGTCTCGTACTCTGACACGGGCATCACGTCACTTAACGAGGCGTGATTCGTGTCTTGGCTCCTTCGAACGATAAAAACTTTGCTACTAATTTTTTCTTCGCTTTCGCGTACCTCGACGTTTTCCTTGATCGACTGGTCCAGACTCGTCGTTCTTTTAAACCTCGCGATAAGATCACTGACGAACACTAGGTCGATAAAAAAATATTATCTCGAAACTTCGGTTATCCCGTTCGATACAAAAGCGTGCCACTTATCGAATGACCGATGCGTCCTTCTGACTGGCAGGACTGGTTCGCGCAACGAACACACGGCGGTCCTCGTTCGAGCTCCGAATCACTCCGTTAGACGATGAACGTCGATGGAAAATCTTCGGTCAGCACTATCGCGGTCGCGTACGGAGCGGAGTTGTTTGGAAAGCCGAAAAACGTTTGTATCACGCGGCGGCAGGTGCAAAAGGTGCCGGTTTACACGAGAAGCGAGCAACCTCCTCTCTTAGCCAGGTCCCAACCGAGAGGTCCACCGTGCGAGGACTGGTTTCACGAGACTCCCTGTGCCCGACCGGCCAGACTACTTCGGACACGATAAAAGAAGAGGGATACAGATAGAAAGAGCGCGCGCTCTCCGGTGCGACGAGAGGCGAAGAGCGAGGAGAGCGTGGAGAGCGGACTCGTGGAGTGTGGGTCCCGTTCTTCGGAGAGAGGCTTGTTCCAGCAAGCGCGAGGAAGTACTGTTACTTAGACAGAGCCTTCGGGGCCTACAACGTGCTGCAAAACGCGACGCAGACCACGACGCGGTGCATACAATTCCAAATCGCTGCACCGACACACGTTCGCGATTGTCTTTCTCTCGCGAGGTGTCTCTTTCGTGCAAGGCGGATGCAACGAAATCACACGTATCGACAGTTGGAAATCGATTCACTTTTATCTTTCTCTTCTCGACAACGAGCTCAAGGATGCGTCCGAGCAACGCTGTACAGAGTCATGACGTACTCGCTGCTCTTATTTCTTTTGCTTTTATTGTAGAGTTGCAGTCGCAGCGACGATTGCTATTGACGTATCCGGTATCGTCAATGTTTTCATGCACGCAGCTTCGCCTCAAGGTCTACTTTGAAAGTAGTCATCGGACGACCGCCCGGCTCTACGACAGATCCACCACGAGTATTTTGCGTTAATCGTTGAATTTCAAACTCGGACTCGAGGAGTGATTGACGGTTGTACGTACACGGATCACGCGAGCCTAGTCACGATCGCTAGGATGCACATTACGTATAATATGCATGTGTACGTGTGCCAAGGAACGTGTACGCGTGCGTGAACACGCATCAACGAATCGCGTGTCCTCCTTCACCCTCTCTGTTTACTCCTGTGCACGCGAAATTTCAACTGGACGAAAATCGACCCACGAGCAGCCAGCTTTCGCACCAGCACCCTGCACGCTCCAATGAGAATTCATGTCGGACACGGCAATGTTTTCGAGTCTCTGTCCGCTTGTTCCGTCAATCTTGAAGAGAAGTTAGAAAATGGTATGCTCACCGCTCCGTGGTCGCGGCTCAACTGGACGATTGGCCGCCTCCGCGCTACTACCCACCGTGTTCAGGGCCGTCCTATCGCGATCAGGCGCCCTGTGTCTCCGCGTTACTACTACGTACACCCGGCTGCAACTGGGTATACTTTTCCTTTCGATCTTACGAAGAATCCGAAGAAAACTTGGGGGAAATCTAGGGAGTACCGTGAGGAGATCGTAGAATAAACCATGTACAGACCCTGCGGAAGATCTGTATAGAGACTAGGTAGAACACGAAGAAAACCTAGGAAAGAGCGTGGAATAAATTAGGGAAATTCTGAAAAGAACGTAGGAAGCCTTTAGGGAGAGAAGAACTTGACCTAGACATTTCTCCTACGATTCCTCCGATTTCTAAGTTCTAAACAAAGGGTAGCCTACGTTGCACCCGAGTGTACCTGCACGTGCCCGCGCGTTAACTCTTACCACCACTCGCGCGTGTGTGTACCATATGCAGCGTGTACGTATCATCGGTGCGTACAAATACTCAAGCGGACGGGTGTAACCGGTTTCACCGATTTTTTCCCGAAAAGCACTCGCGATGGTTTGTAAAATTGTTTGCCCTTTGTCGTTTCTCCGACGTGCACGTAAACTGCCTAGAGGCCATATTTCAGTATTTTGAGAGGCAGATCGCGATTGATTTTGATATTATAGACGAATTTATGAATATAAAATCGGTGGAACAGCAGAAATTAGAAGGTACGATCGAACGGTGAACGGTTCTGTTGGGAAAAACTACCTGTTTGATCCACGCTGCGTAACAGGAATGAATTTTTCCAAATTCCAAACGTATAATCGTTATGCACTGGATAATGTAAGGTGACACCAAGGCAGTCCAGTGCAGAATCAAGATACGAGCCCAACATCACCGTGACCAAGCTCGATCACGTGGAATCTGCTGTCTTCGATACCGTCAAATTTAATTTCACCCTTACTCTTTGCATCGTATAGGTATACGATAAGACAAACTTAAACAATTTCGTCGAAACGATAACACGTAATTATACTTATTCAAAATCCATTCGCAATTGCATCGAGAATGTTAATTGCAGGCAATTGTACAATTCGCTGACTCCGTCGAATCGGTGACCTAACTTTCCCCACCGATACCCCGTTACTCCAGTTCAAATTTTACTTATTCGATCTCATAAGAATACTATATTTTTCGTCCGTCGATCGATTTATAAAACGGTCTCGACTAGCTCATATGAGTCGAGAATTTGAATAATTTATGATTCGCATCTGTGCGTGGCGATCATAAATAAAATGTAAAATCGGAGGTACGAAAAAATTGCGATCTCTGATAATCCGATAAGACAGAATAATGAAAATGCGTTTAAGCGTCATAAATCTACGTCGAGCTATACGCATGCGCGATCTCTCGAAGGTGCAATATCAATGCGACGAAGCTTAGGGAGGCGGTCTTTTGAATCGCCGCTTAATAAATTGAGTCATTAGAAGCACGAGGCAAAGTACATAGCGAAAGTAAATCCTGAACACTGAGCTGAAGCGTCCACGGTGCAAGTTGTAACAATAAAACGAGAGAGTAACGTGATTGCACTGCGCCACGTGACGTACGTATGTACGTATACATTGAACGATACTTTACTTAGTTGATGGCGACTCCACGGGGATTCGACGAACAAAAATATTGCCTTTATCCTGATGAAGTCGTTTACGTTTATTGAGACGATTAATAAATTCATCTTGTACATTCCAGACTTCCGTTTGATGAATTTAAAGAAGGAATTTTTTAAAAACTTCGACCGTCGATAAAGTAGAAACGTTCTCGTCGGTTCTGACGAAAGAAATTTGAAAATGAAAGGTGCTGCCATCTTGGGGCTCCGCTTACGACTAACTGACAATAGCAATCGGTGGCGTACGAACATTTAAAAACACTTTATGTACAATTTATAAATTCTATATTTATATTATTATATTACAATCACTATTTCGTATAAAAGAAACCTATCCGCATCTATGTAAAGTGTAAAACTACCGATAGACTTAAGTGTACAAATTAATGTGGATCGCAAAGTCCCAATTCTTTGATTACATATTTAGATGCAAGTGCTGGGCCGCAGCGATAATTTTACATTTCTGTAGTTCCAACTTTTGTTCCTTAAGTTTCAACAGTCTTTTTTGAACATCCAATTCGTTCTGTCGTATCACCATTAACTCTTTGTGCCTTCTTTCTTTGTTCTTTTCCGCGATCGAAAAATTTTTCGTCATTTCGTCGAAGAATTTTTCGAAGAGAGTCGTTAAAGCACCTTTCGTATCCGTGTCCTCTTGTTTACCGTTCGTAGAGGAGTTTGCCGTTAACGCCGCTAGAGGGTCGTCCGACTGCTGATTGTCGGTAGCGTTGCTCTGTTCCTGATTCGTGGGTTTCGGTAAAATGAAAGTATATTTTGCGGAACCAGCTGGTGGTGGAAAATCGCCTTCTTCCAAGTACATGTGTCTCTTCTTTTCGTTAAAAATTTCGTCCAGTGCTCTTTTGTGCTCCCAATGGCCGTAATGCCTCATTCTACCCGGCTTCTTCAATCGTTCTCGAAATACCAAATTCTTGTACTTACGTTCCAGAACTCGCCACTTGTTTTCGCACTTTTGAGGACTGAAGTAAAAGCCATAGTTTTGCATCTCGAGAGAAATCATCTCGAACATTTCGCGCAAACTTCGGATCTGCGTCGATTGTCCTACCATCGATCGATACTTCTTGTATTGACTAATGAGGCACGTGGTAGCCTTGCTGGTCCATAAATTCAATGCGCCGACATCAGCACTGGAGGGTATCGCGTTGTTACCTTCGAATCCGGGAAATCCGTTCTCGTGTTCCTCTTCGACGTAGCATTGCAACGTTGGTTCTACCTTGACTTCCGTCTGCACGTCGATCTTCTCCCCTTGTCAAGAACAAGTTAGCATCGTCATACTTTGTACCGACTAAATTTTTTGCGCGTATACGCGATAATCGAAGCAAAGGCGTTTGATTTTCCCGCGCGAAACAGTTCCAAACTGAACCAAATACGAGCAGCGTGTTTACGCCTGTGTGACTTTTGAACGAGTGCACGTTCGAAACAGGTTGGAATTCGTAACGAATACAAAGCGACAACACGATGTATGCAAGCGCGTGTAACAACTGTTTCTCTTACCTTTCTGCTCTGTAATATCGGCCATATTAGCGTACTCTCGTAACGTAACCTCCGTTCCAATCTGCGAGAGAAGTCCGGCACGAGTGCCAATCTCGGTCGTGGCACGGTCTCGCAGGGGACCGAAAAACCAATGAAAACTAGTTCCAAACCGGTTTCATACTGGAACTGGTTTGATACGCGTCGAAGACTGGCGGCCATGTTGCTTTCGTACTCGACGAATCCCAAAGATAGTACGTTAGGTCCCGTAGCACATGGCATCCATTATCTCGTACGTGTTTCGAACACATTCGAGCACGAGTCAAGTAGCTGGTTTCTAGAAGCAGCTGTTACTAGCATCAATTAAAAGCAATTATCTATCGAAACAAAACGCGGAGAACACTTTTATGTTTCTGTTACAATTCCACGATAACATCTTCGCGTAATAATTCACGTAACGACAATTACGTCGAGGATAAAGAACCGTTGTATAACAGACGACCGTAAAAGCCGCAAAATAGTTGAACAATTTATAAACAGATATTTAACGAGGAGAAAAAAGTCGTTAAAGCGACATTCCAGATTTATCGATAACACAGGTTAGATCATGGTAAACAGTTGCATAAGGTGCGTGTGTTCCGTTTAATGACTTTTAGGTATTTCTATGATTCGATGAAGCTTAAATTATTCCCGGGGTATTTAACATTATTATAGCCTCTGGAACGAATCGAATAACTTCCTTCACTTTCCGCCGTGTATAATACGTTTCGCATTATAGTTCATAAATGCTTCGTTTTCCCATATAATTAAAACTGGCACACTCGTACCACGCGTGTATTCGTATTATATTATACATCGAAGTTGAAAAGGAACAATAATCTCGTAACCTCAGATTATCCTTCGATTTCCTGTAGCACTATTAGCAGTCACGATAATCGCAACCTCTATCGATATACTTGAACATAATGCATCCAGTGTAGAAAATACCTATAGATCGTTTATTTTCGTCGCAAAAAACGTACAACGCGCAAAGTTGTACTTTAATCGATTAATCGTTTCGCAATAATCCTTATCGTCTTTAACGATCGATAAGGAATTTTTAACGAGGCAAGATCTCAATCGATCGATTAATAAAGTTGGATAAGAACAATTACCTTCGAGATCGTTTCGTTTCTTTTTTCGGTCGGTGTCGAAGATACGACGAATGTTTGCACGCTTCGATAGCAGCGCTGACACCGGAAACGAACTATTTCGTGAACCAACCAGGCCTATATAATCCCGCGGGTATGAAACGGCTAGTGTACGGTGTAACGAGATAATAACACCCACACAAGAGTTTCGCGTAAAGCGCGCGACGGACAAACATTCCGAGCGGGTCTGGCGCGTCACGGAACACGAGGAAACGAGTCGAGTGCTCGGGATTCCTCGTTTTGGGTCATTGTTCGTTCCGATTCTCAGATACGTCCTGTATTTCTCATACTCGTTATTATCGTACACCGGATGTACTTCCCCCTCGTTTAAAACGTGCTCCGCACATGTTCCGTTTTCTCACTGACTCGATATTTTTGCCGCTTACAAATAAATTTCCGAAAACGCGATATTCGTTTAATTCGACTACCGATGCCCGTGCGATTTTACCGAGCGTGCATTTTTTGCCCGCTTCGATAAAAAATACGAAAACGCGGATTAATCGTTTTAAACGATTACATTCGATACGCGATATAATCGCTTATAATCCGTCGACAAGTTTTTACGAATAAAATCAGCTTTCGCGAACGCGTCGCTCCCTCCGCTTTATATTTCCCGCTCGCTGGAATCGAGGCTACAGTCGCGATACGTCCTCGTAACCCCAAACACGATTTCGATATTAGTCCGTGGTATTCGATAGGAGCGGCGTTTGCTCGGTCGAGATCGTGACGTCAGGGTGGCAGGGTGGTGTGAAGCTCGCGAGCAGTCGCAAAGGCAAACCGGGGCTACGAAAGAAGGGTGAAGGAGAGGAAAGGCACGGATGGGCTCTGTCGTGCAACGAGAGGGGACTGGTGCATAGTGGACGGGAAAGAGAGGCGATATCTCGGCAGGAGCAGGAGTGGTGTGCGAGCGAACGAACGAGGAGGGCCACACGCTCGCCTTTCGTCGGCGTTTCGTGTGGGTGCGCGAGTGCGTGCTCGCAGCAAGATACTTTCGATTTCCAGCGATCGGCGAGCCTTCGCCGGGTACGACGGTGCACCAGGAAGCGCGCACGACAGTTACCATCGAGTGAAACAGTACGGGCGCGATAACCTGTCGAGTCGCTGCTCGTTGTCGGTCCTGTCAGTTTCTGTGCGCGCGTGAACGCGGTGCGTTTCTCGTGCGAAACAGGTGCCTTTTCGATTATTTTCTCGATCGTGTCGCGATACACTACGATTCGATTCGAATTTCGAATCGTACACGAGGAGGACGACCGACGTTCTCGCTACTCGCTCACGATTCTCTGATGACAAGCGATCATTGGCCACAGCGTTTCGTGGCACGAGTAACGCGAGAGACGCGGTAAATATTAATGCTGATAGAGGTCCGAAACGCGTGTTCCGTCGGCGTCTCGCGCGCGTTACATATGCGTCGGCGACATCGATTTTCCAGCGAAGGCTCGCAGCTGGTGTCCGTGTCGATCGCCGGAGGAGTTGGCACAGGAACGATGCGAACCGGGCGTCGTCGCGTCTGAAGGGAAAGGAATAGATTTTGACAGCGACTGAGCCGGAAGGCGGCGAGCGTCGAGAGGGGAGTCGTGCAGAGTCG